TTCGGTGGAGCTCCCTATTGGGCCACGAAACGCTGTACTAAGTGTGGCGGACGCATGTGGACAACCCCACTTGTGCCTTCGGTGGAGCTCCCTGTGGGGCCACGAAGCGCCGTAGTGGGTGTGGCGAACGCATGTGGCCACCCCCACTGGGGCCTTCGGTGGAGCTCCCTGTGGGGCCACGAAGCGCTGTACTGGGTGTGGCGGACGCATGTGGCCACCCCCACTGGGGCCTAGGGTGGAGCTCCCTATGGGGCCACGAAACGCTGAACTGGGTGTGGCGGACGCACTGGGCCTTGGGTGAGGCTCCCTATGGGACCACGAAACGCTGTACTGGGTGTGGCGGCCGCATGTGGCCACCCCCACTGGTGCCTTCGGTGGAGCTTCCTATGGGAACACGAAACGCTGTACTGGGTGTGGCGGACGCATGTGGCCACCCCCACTGGGGCCTCAGGTGAAGCTCCCTCTGGGGCCTCGAAGCGCTGTACTGGGTGTGGCGGACGCATGTGGCCACCCCTTCTGGTGCCTTAGCTGGAGCTCCCTGTGGAGTCACGAAACGCTATACTGGGTGTGGCGGACGCATGTGGCTACCCCAACTGGGCTCTTAGGTGGAGCTCCCTATAGAGCCACGAAACATGTGAGGGGTGTGCCAACATGGGTGTGGCGGACGCATGTGGCCACCCAAGTATATGGTGCCTTCGGTGGAGCTCCCCATGGGGCCACGAAACGCTGTAGTGGGTGTGGCGAACGCATGTGGCCACCCCCACTGGGGCCTTCGGTGGAGCTCCCTGTGGGGCCACGTAATGCTGTACTGGGTGTGGCGGACGCATGTGGCCACCCCCACTGGGACCTTTAGGTGGAGCTCCCTATGGGGCCACGAAACGCTGTACTGGGTGTGGCGGCCGCATGTGGCCACCCCCACTGGGGCCTTCGGTGGAGCTCCAAACGTGGGAGGGGTGTGCCGAAATGGGTGTGGCGACGGTGATGATGATGACGATGGTGGTGATGAGGGCGGTGATGATGACAGCGATAATGATGATTACGATGGTGACGGTGATGATGACGATAACGATAAAAAGGATGATGATGACGACGACGATGATGAGGATGAGGATGAGGATGAGGATGAGGATGAGGATGAGGATGAGGATGAGGATGATGATGAGGATGATGATGATGATGATGATGATGCTGATGAGGATGAGGATGAGGATGAGGATGAGGATGAGGATGAGGATGAGGATGAGGATGAGGATGAGCATGAGGATGAGGACAAGGATGAGGATGAGGATGAGGATGAGGATGAGGATGAGGATGAGGATGAGGATGAAGATGAGGATAAGGATGAGGATGAGGATGAGGATGAGGATGAGGATGAGGATGAGGATGAGGATGAGGATGAAGATGATGATGATGATGCTGATGCTGATGATGATGATGATGATGATGATGATGATAATGATGATAGTGATGATGATGATGATGATGATGATGATGATGATGATGATGATGATGATGATGATGATGATGATGATGATGATGATGATGATGATGATAAGAGGAAGAGGGAGTGGGCAGCAGGAGGACGGAGACACGGGGCGATGTATCTTCAAAACGAGGACCCAACACCACAGGATGATTGGGACAAAAATCGAAACCCGTCAAAAACAAAAGTTATGCTTGCATTCCAAGGCTTCGGGTGATTGCAAATGCGGACCCCCGATGGCGGCCGAGACCCTGCTGGACCAGAACTGAAACGACACCACCCCACCTACGGCCCCACGGCGCTTAGCGATCTGGCGTGGAATTGCGCGTGGTGTAAGCTACGGCGCCCGATGGGCCGAAGCGAAACATGGAGGGCCGCAGGCGGGGTGGTGTCGTTTCTTGTTTGGCCGCCCCAGGCGGCGCCCCAGCACTCGCAGCAGCTCAAGCAGACGAGGCCAGGGAACAGGCTGGTGGCGACAGTGCCAATCGCAACAGACGGGGCAGGCGGGAAGCGGTACCCTGGGGCGGAGAGCAGGCAGCCGCGACAGCCAGGGCAAGCGAAATCCCGGACCTCATGTGCGCTGGCGGAGGAAACGCAGCAGTCAGGGCAAGCTCGGCGGCGAGCGAAAGGGGGTAGTGAGAAGGAGAAGGCCTTCTCGGAAGGCGGCTGGGTTTACGCAGCAGTTAGGGCAAGCTCGGCGGCGGGCGAGGGGGGGGAGTGAGGAGAAGAAGGCCTTCTCAAAGGCGGCGGGGCTTCTCAGAAGCCCTCGGGCCTGCTGAGAGGTATTATATGTCTTTTTGGAAGGCTTAGGAAATTTCTCAGAAAGGCCGGGGGGCTTCCGAGACCTTTGAGAAGGCCCGCCCCCTCCCTCGGGGGCGGCCAAGAGGGGGGGGCCGCGAATCATGGCCGGCGGCATGTGCGCGGCCCAAGGGGGGGCCAAGGACGTAATAAAATAAGAAGAGGCGCCATGAGATCTGAGGATATCATGGCCCACGCCATGATATCCACTCCCCCCTTGTCATCACCACCCTCTCTGCCGCCCGCGACTCTCACTTCCCCTCTTCGCTCGCCGCCGACGAGCGGGCACGCGACCCTACGGCCGGCAGCAAGAAGCAATCGCAACAGGCAGGGCAAGCGAGACCCCGGAACCTACGGGCGGCGACCCGGGGTACCCTTGACCCTCCATGGGCAGCGACACGGCAATCACATCACCCAAGGCCCGAAATGGGCGGCGACAAGGCAATCGCAACAGCCACGGCAAGCGGGACCTACAGTAGAACCCGGCGGGCAGCGATGGAAGATCCCAGAGGCGAGACCCATGCGGGCGGTGCCACTGGGGCCTTCGGTGGGGCTCCCTACGGGCCACGAAACGCTGTCCTGGGTGTGGCGGACGCATGTGGCCACCCCCACCGGGGCCGCAGGTGGAGCTCCCTATGGGGCCACGAAACGCTGTACTGGGTGTGGCGGACGCATGTCGCCTCCCCCACTGGGGCCGCAGATGGAGTTCCGTTTGGGGCCACGAAACGCTGTACTGGGTGTGGCGGCCACATGTGGCCACCCCCCAGTGGGGCCTTAGGTGGAGCTTCTTATGGGGCCACGAACGCTGTACTGGGTGTGGCGGACGCATGTGGCCACCCCCACTGGGGCCTTAGGTGGAGCTCCCTATGAGACCACGAAACGCTGTATTGGGTGTGGCGAACGCATGTGGCCACTCCCACTTGGGCCGTGGAGTGCCCTTTGGTGCCACGAAACGCGGAACTGGGTGTGGCGGACGCATGTGGCCACCCCCACTGGGGCCTTAGGTGGAGCTCCCTATGGGGCCACGTAACGCCGTAGTGGGTGTGGCGGACGCATGTGGCCACCCCCACTGGGGCCGCAGATGGAGCTCCCTATGGGGCCACGAAACGCTGAACTGGGCTACCCCCACTGGGCCACCCCCACTGGGGCCCCACGAAACGCTGTATTGGGTGTGGCGGACGCATGTGGCCACCCCCACTGGGGCCGCAGGTGGAGCTCCCTATGGGGCCACGTAACGCCGTAGTGGGTGTGGCGGACGCATGTGGCCACCCCCACTGGGGCCGCAGATGGAGCTCCCTATGGGGCCACGAAACGCTGAACTGGGTGTGGCGGACGCATGTGGCCACCCCCACTGGGGCCTTAGGTGGAGCCGCCTATGGGGCCACGAAACGCTGTACTGAGTGTGGCGGACGCATGTGGCCACCCCCACTGGGGCCTTCGGTGGAGGTCCCTATGGGGCCACGAAACGCTGTACTGAGTGTGGCGGGCGCATGTGGCCACCCGCACTGGGGCCTCAGGTGAAGCTCCCTATGGGGCCACGAAGCGCTGTACTGGGTGTGGCGGCTGCATGTGGCCACCCCCACTGGGGCCTTAGGTGGAGCTCCCTATGGGGCCACGTAACGCCGTAGTGGGTGTGGCGGACGCATGTGGCCACCCCCACTGGGACCTTTAGGTGGAGCTCCCGATGGGGCCACGAAACGCTGTACTGGGTGTGGCGGACGCATGTGGCCACCCCTACTGGGGCTCTAGGTGGATCTCCCTATGGGGCCACGAAACGCTGTACTGGGTGTGGCGGACGCATGTGGCCACCCCCACTGGGGCCTTCGGTGGAGGTCCCTATGGGGTCACGAAATGTGTGAGGGGTGATGATAGTGGCGATGATGCTGATGATGGGGAGAGGGAGGGGGGCAGCGGGAGAGAGGAGACGCGGGGACCGTCTCTTCAAAACGAGAACCCAACACCACAGGATGGGTGGGAAAAACGAATGAATTTCGCGTGGATTTCTGTTGGTCTGGCCAAAAACAATCCACACGAAATTCACCTCGAAATCCGGAACGACATTCTCTAGGACACCCAGGGCCCACCCGATCGTTTTCCGAACGTCATCCGCTCTGCGATGCGCCCTGAGACCCTGGACCCTCCATGGGCAGCGACACGGCAATCGCATCAGCCAAGGCGAGCCGGACTGGGGACCCTGAATGGGCGGCGACCAGGCAATCGCAACAGCCACGGCAAGCGGGACCTCGAACTCGGCGGGTGGCGATGGGAAGATCCCAGAGACGAGGATCGATCTCGCTCCACACAAAAAACCAGTCGAGCGGGACGACCCGGGCACCCCAGAACGCTTTCGGCCAGGCGCAGCTGCTGGAACGCTTCCCGAGACAGGAAAACCTGCAATAACTGACAAAGAGCATCCGAAAACCTCCTCAGCAGGCTCTGGCTCCCTTGCTCCCCTTCGCTCTCAAAAAAGAGGGCCTTGTTATCCGGGTGAAGCGGCGCAGCGCTCCGCTCGGGAAGAGCACCAGAGGAACAGCCAGGGAAGGTATTATAACGTTCCGGCGGCCTGGCAGCTACAGGCGGCGCTTCGAGGTGCTCTGGAGCAGGCTGCGCCGCCCCGGGCTCTCCAGGGCCAGGAGGGGCCATATAGCAGGAGCGATGGAGAGAGAGAGAGGAGGAGGAGGAGGAGGAGGAGGAGGAGGAGGAGGAGGAGGAGGAGGAGGAGGAGGAGCAGCAGGAGGAGGAGGGGGAGGGGGAGGGGGACGGGGAGGGGGAGGGAGAGAGCGGGATCTGGGCTGGAGGCCTCTGAGCTCTGAGGGCCCACAAATCATGAGGCTCAATCGAGCGTTGCCTCTGCGACGGATGCAGACGAGCTCCAGCCCGACGTGTCCACGCCCCCCTGCACCAGGGAGAGGCTCTGGGAGCACGAGGCTGGAGGCTCGGCTGCCTCAGAGTGGTCGTCCTCTCCCAGCAGACCCCCGACATCAAAGCCTGCTCGCCCCAGATGTCGAGCAAAAAGGTTCAAATACCGGATGCCGGATTGCGTACGTCCGTGGGCAATCTTGAAGTCAACCTTGCCGAAGCTAAGCCACTCCTGAGTATCATTAGTATCATCAAGCGCTCGATAATGGTACCCTCCTTTTTGTTTCATCTCTGCCCAAGCCCCCGTAACGCTCAGCTTCTGGAAATACAAATCCGCGCATGATCCACCCAGTCGGTGCGCATCGGCCTCCACGTGGAGCAATGTCTTCTCTGCGCCCTCCCCGCGAGGAATACTTATCATGACGTGCCAGCCTGGCCTCATCAGGTCGAACTTCTGCCCGAAGATATTTGTCAGATGGGGATCGCCGACGGCGGAAATCTGGCCAGCGCTTGCCCCAGTTGTCGGCGGCGCGGGCGTCGCCGCAGGCGTTATTATCGACCCCATCGCCCCCGTAGCGGGCGCCATCGGCCCCATTGGGCCCAGCTGCGCCGAGACCTGGCTCGGAGCATCCACGCGTGGCGGTCTGCACCAAGACATTTTGAAGATCCGCAAGGGCATCGCGGCATCCGTGTAGCTGTTGTGGCAGCAGCCATAAGAGCCGCCGACGCCGTCCCCCCAGAATGGCAGAAACCTTCGTCCGTCACCCTCTACGTTGTTGCTCGGCCAGTTTGCCGCAGATCCGCCAAAGTGATTGTGGTAATAGTCGGGTATCCTCCAGGTGATCACGTCATTGCTCCATTGATGCTGCGTGGAACTTGTCAGCATATCGCAAAAGTCAGCCCCTGCAACTGGCTTGAAGTAGTCTGTCATCTCTCCCATGCCGATTTTGATGTGATCTGCCTCAGCTGGAATGAAGCGGCAAGTCGTTCCCCAGTCGGTGGCGCTGGTACCATCAACGACAACGAGCTCTGTACAGTCCTCCGACATCTCTGCATTCAACGTCGGGCTGGGCGTCGGCTCAACCTTCTGAACAGCAGCACAGATTGGTGAGGCACCCGGCTGGTTGGATGCATGATGGAAGTACGTATCTTGCTGGCCCGACCCACCGTCCCATTTTGCACAGTCGCCGCCGTAGTCGCTGCTCGCCCCGGCACCGTGCAGGCCGAGGCCGAGCGCGGCCGCGGCCTCGTCACACTCCGACGGAGAGGAGATGCTCGCGAACCCAGCGGGGCAGGCCGCCTCTGGCTGAGTGGTGTGGAAGACAATGTACGGCTGCAGGCCGCAGATCTCGCACTTGAAGGTGTCCTGCATGCTGAGCGCGAGCGCGCGTCCAGCCGCGATGCACTCGGGCGGAGAAGCCAGGGGCGCGTAGCCGACGGGACACATGCTGCCCAGCACATAGACCGGCAGCTTGCAGATTGGTTGTGCGTTGTGCATGGTGCTCCCGTGATGGTAGTACCAGTCCTGCATCCCCAGGACGACCCACTTCGCACAGTCGCCACCGTAGTCGTTGCTTCCCCGGTAGCCCAGGCTGAGCCCGAGCGCCGCTGCAGCCTCATCACACTCTGAGGTCGAGGAAATACTTTGAGCAGGGCTGCTGCAAGAACTCCCATAGAAGTAAGCATTCGATGAGCTTGGAGGTAGACGTCGTCCGAACTGTAAATCGTGCAAGCCAGAAGGAACATCTGGCACTTGCACCCCCATAGCTGCCGATGCACTCAGAAGTATATGGATGGTGGAGAACATACGTTCCCGCTGGAGTAGTAGTAGCAAGTAATAGAATGAAAGTGCGTGGTAATTGGTGAATGGTGAGCACCTACTGAGTTGCAATCGGAAACGATAAACATTAAAGGTTGAAGAGTACCGATTAACACATGATGGTGGCATGGCCATGGTGATTGGGCATAGTCCTGGTTATGGGCATGGTTCTGGTCAGGTACTGGTTAAGGGCGTGATCGTAGTGATGGCCACTTATCATGGTCGCGATAATGGTTTTGGTGAGTGCCGTGGTCGTAGTCTTAGCCATGGCATCATAAGAACGAAGCGGTTGGGATGGGTGTGGAATCAACCATAACAAACAAGATGATTGAGTGAGTCCGCCGACCCGTTTGGGATCACTGGCCTGTCCAGTTCTCCCCCCCTCGCAGGACCCAAAATCGAAGATTCGACTGGGGGAGGGGTACGACGAGGGTGGGATGGGTGTGGAAGCCACAACAACAAACAAAATGTCGAGTGAATCCGCCGACCCGTTTGGGATCACCGGCCTGTCCAATTCCCTCCCCCTCGCAGGACCCAAAATCGCAGATTCGATTGAGGGAGGGTGGGGCGGTCGGGTTGGATGACAAAGAGGAGGAGGAGGAGGAGGAGGAGGAGGAGGAGGAGGAGGAGGAGGAGGAGGAGGAGGAGGAGGAGGAGGAGGAGGAGGAAAAAGAGGAGGGAGGAGGAGGAGGAGGAGGAGGGGGAAATAATTACTCCGACGGTAGGACCCCACATGAGAATCCTCTTGGCGAATCTGGAAAAACCCTCATCGTCGTCCTCGTGATGTTGAGGCGTCCTTACTGTCTCCTCTGCGTCTGAGACGTCCTCGCAATTCGCTCACATACGAGGTTCCCACCTGATACTTCTCCCATATTCAAGCTTCTGGAGCCCAACAGCGACGACAGATACAGGTTTCCGATGACCCGCCTCGGATTTGAACATGAAGTGCTGGCCCCATAGGAAGGGGGCTCCGCCTGAGACTTCCTCGCAATTCACTCACAGACGAAGCTCCCGCCTGATACTTCCCATATTAAAGCCTCAGGGGCCCATAAGTGACGACAGTTGCAGGAAGCCGATGACTGCGGGCCCCATAGGGAGGGGTGTCCCGCCTAAGACTTCCTCGCAATTCACTCACAGACGAGGTTCCCGCGTGGGTGAGTGGGTGGGTGAGTGGGTGAGTGGGTAGTGGGCGAGTGAGTGAGTGAGTGAGTGAATGATGATGATGATGAGAATGATGCGGATGAAGATGATAATGATGAAGATGACGATGATGATGATGCTGATGATGTTGATGATGATGCTGCTGATGATGATGAGTGTGTAGATGAATGAATGTGCGAGTGATGACGACCTTGGTGATGATAGTGTGCGTGTGTGGGTGCGTGGGTGAGTGGGTGGGTGGGTGAGTGGGTGACTATGAGTGACGATGGTGCGTGTGAGTGATTGAGTGAGTGTGGGAAAAGAGAAGAGAGAGAGAGAGAGAGAGAGAAAAAAAAAAAAAAAAATGCGAAATACCCAACCATATGCAGTTGCGAGTACTGCAATTGTGAATATATTATTCGGTGGCGCTCCCTATGGGGTCACGAACCGTCTGAGGGGTATGCCGAACTGCGGCGGGGCTCACAACGCAAAGGAATACGATAAGTCGAATTACGAGAGACTGAAGGCGGGTGAGTCCGAGCGCGAGTGAGTCGAAGTGCGAATGAGTCAGCGTGCGAGTGGGTATATTTGCGTGGATGCGATAACGGCTACGCCTAGTGTTAATGTATATGAATGCGAATGGTTCGGGCATGCCTGTCCGAACACCCGCGACACTGAGCGCGGCCGCCGCAGGCAGCTTCCGCGGGAACCCCGACGGCAGCACCCGCGCGCCGCGATGCCCACGTCGGCACGCCCCTCACGAGGATCGCACCCGCTTCCGTCCCTTCTTTTCCTCCCTCTTTGCCTGCGCACTCCAAAATTCAAGGGCGCGGGCGCAGCGCAGCGCGGAGTCCCCGCGACGCGCGCAGGTCGCCCTGGAGGGGTCCCAGCGACGCGCGCGGGTCGTCCGCTGCGCGGCGCAAAGAGAGCTAGCTGGCTGGCTGACAGCAGGCAAGGCTCCGGTCGCTAGGCAGACCGACGACGGGCGAGCGAGGCGCTGGGCAGGACGCAGAACGGAGTTCCCACGACGCGCGCTGGTCGCCCCGAGAGGGCCCCAGCGACGCGCGCGGGTCGTCCGCGGCTCGAGGCCAGACAAGTAGTTGGACAGTCGAGAGAAGGCGCGGCTCGCGCGGGGCGCTCCTCAGGTCAGGCCTCGCGGATAAACTCGGTGAAGCCGTGCTCCCTGGCGAGGGCCGCCGCCTCCCTTCTGCGCCGCTTCGTGCGCGCCGCAAAATGCTCCAGCTGCTTTCGCAAGCCCTCTGGCGGCCCTGCCAGGAAGAACTCGATGCGCGGCGCCCGCATGAGCAGGAGGTCCTCGTGGCGCGTGGCGCGCGAGAGCAGCACATAGAGCTCCGGCCACCAGTCGTCGCCCTCCTTCTTGCCGCCCCCGAACTCGTGGCGGCCGCAATCCAGGATCACGCCTGGGCGACGTCGGCCGGGGGAGCAGCGCGCCTGGCAGCCGACGGCCCAGGGCGAGAGTCCACAGGATCGAGGTCTGGCTGTGGACTGCTCGCGCCCAGCAGGTCTGGCCGTAAACTCCCCCAGAGCGCTGTTCCTTCGCCCCGTCGCCTTCGCGCATGGTGCGCCCCTGGCACGCCACCGCGGCGATGACCCTGCCGCACGAGAACGGGAAGCCCGGTCGGGTGACCATGGAGGCGCGGAAGGTGAACAGCTCCGACGCACGAGGCTCGATGAACACCAGCGGGCCCGCGAGGTCCCCCGCGAGGCCGTCGTCGCGGCGCATGAGGTCGTCCACGACGGGCGCGCACGTGCACCTCTCCATGTGCACTCAGAACCCCGGCGGCAAGTGCTTCAGATAGCTCCTCTTCTCCCCGTCTCTCTCGGCCTTGTCTACGTCGTCCCGATCTCGAAGGTCCACGGCGATGCGCGCGATCTGCCCTGCGGCATCCTTGACGAGGCCGCTCTTGAGGTCCAGCGCCTCCAGGAGCCGGATCCGCATGCCCACGTGCACCGGGAGCAGTCCGCGCATGCCACCGGCGTTCGTTCTTCGGGTTGGCACAGTTCATCACATTGGCGGCGCCCTTCCTGCTCATCGTCGGGGCAGACCTGTCAGCGGCCTGCACGAGGAAGAGAGACTTCTTCAGGAGGTCTGCGTCCCGCTGGGCACCCATGTTCATCCAGCGCGCCACGGCGTCCCAGTAGGACCCAATCATGTGGCCGTTCTGGAACCTATCCTCCCAGAGTCTACGATCGTCGGGTTTCAGCTGCATGGCGTTCCACGTGGCCCGGATGGCCGACGGGACCTGCTTCCCCGGCTTGCGCAGGAACGCCATGAGGTCCCTGAGTTTCGGGCCATTGAAGCGGTTGGACGCCTGGAGCTCGAAGCACAGCGGCGTGTTGCAGAAGAGCTTCATCACGGCCTGGCAATCTGGAGCGAGGTTGATGCCCGCCGCCGCGAGTTCCTCAAGGCTGGAGATGAGGGACACTTTGCCTCCCGTCGGCTTCAGCTGCAGGAAATCTCCCAGGTGAATCACGATGGGCATCCGGCCGAAGGCGCCGCCGACCTGGTCGCACTCCCGCTCCTCCGCGCCCCACTCGGCCTTGCGTCCCAGGTAGGACGGGAATGCCAGCATGTTGTACAGGCTGGGCGAGATCATGCTCACCTCTTCCAGGATCAAGCACCTGACCGCTTCCCACGTGTCCTGCAGCGCTTCCAGCTTGCCCCCCGCTGACTCCCGCCCAGTGGCAACTGACGGCCTTGTGAGCGTCCGTGGAGATGTTCGCGGCCTGGGACCACTTCGCGCAGACTATCAGCGTGGACGAGTTCGCCTTGCCCAGTTCCACAGGGAACAGCGCGTCCATGGCCGGCAGCACGATCTCCTGCACGATGGCGGTCTTCCCGCTGCCGCCCTGGCCCAGGAGCAGGAACTGGAACGTCTTCCGCTTCGCGTGCTTGGCCATGCTGCCGTCCTCGATCTTCTGCCCCTCGTCCCACACCACGTTGCATGCGTTCGCGAACGCAGTGACGAACGGGTCCTGGTCGGGCTTCAGAGGGCGGCGCTCCCGCTCCCCCGCCCTCGGGTTGACCACGCCGTCCTCAAACTTTTTGACGAGGCGCTCGACGAAGTCGCTGGGCCGCTGCAACTCCTCCGACGGCTCCCACCGCGCCTGCGCCGCCGCGGCCGGCACCGCGCCAGCGCCCGCTGCCCCGACGTCGCCCCGCGCGGGACCGCCGTCCATGGGCACGTCCGCGTCCTTCGTGCCTCCCTTGGCGAACCTGTTCCGCTGGGTCTCCACCAGGTCCTTCAGCTCGTCTGCGTCGAGGTCGCGCAGGGCCCTGAACGGAGTGAAGATGTTCCCCCTCAGGGCGCGGGCAGCGCGCCGCGGCGCGTCGGCGTCGTTCGGCCCGGGCAGCGCGCCGTCCTCCATCATCGCGGCGGCCTTCTTCAGCTTCTTCACGAAGGCCTGCGCGCGCTCGGCGGTGTCCGAGCGCATGATCTGCCCGAGCATCTCGGGGTCGAAGTGTTTCTCCAGGACCACGTTGGCGCCCAGCTTCGCGAAGCCGTCCTGAGCGCGGATGCCCTGGGCCTCCACCTGCGCCGCGCCCGCCCCCGAGCCCTCGGCCTGGACGAGCAGCTCGCAAGCCCGTGGTCGGCCACGTTCCCGCGGATGCGGAGGATCCCCGGCGCACCCACGGCCGCCAGCCCGCGCGCCGCGGGGCGATCCGGAGCCGCCGCCGGACGCAGACGACGAGGGCGACGACGACATCCACCAGGCCACCCCTCCACTGCTCGCGCACGGTGACCACAGCGAGAACACCGGAAAGACCCCCGCTGGTGGAATGGAACCTCCCGCGACTGCAAAGCAATATCCACTTGCACTGGGGGAGCGGGCCTCCTCCTCCCCCTCCGCCTCCTCCTCCCCAGAGGTCAGGAGCTGCCCCCTGAAACCTTGAATGTGGCGGACGCATGCTGACGGTGGCACTGGGGCCCTCGGTGGAGCTCCCTGTGGGACCACGAAACGCGCGAGGGCTGCGCCGAAGTGGGTGGGGGGGACGCATACGGTGGCACTGGGGCCTTCGG